GGCACGGGGCAGTTGCCAGGTTAGGAATGGTCTTTCACCTTCAGGATGTTTAAGTAGGATAGAGGCTATCGGCCCAACCTGGCACTGCTGTGCAAAGGGTTCTCCCACATTCTTGCGACAGCTAGAAACACCTTTTCTTTTTTATCCTAGCCTGTGTTGTTGTTGACTCTGCCAAGTCCCTCCCCTGAGATTTTCTGGTGGGAGTTCTTCATGACCTTCACATTGATCTCCTGCGTCTACAATTGTTGCCTTGGGAAGCCGGGTCATGGAAGCTTTACGCCTTTGGCCGTGGGACTTGCGCTCTTTGCCTCCGCAGGGTCGGGTGGACAATTCACAGGCGCAGCGGCAAACATCTCAGCGGAGCCAACGTTGGCCGCTTTTCCGAGCATTTTTCCGGGAATCATACTGACAAGATCTGACGTGCTTGTGACATATCATGGACACAAACAGAAAAAGAGACATGGCGATCATGTGCTCTGGATGGTTCTTTGAGTATCTCCCACTTCGATCATCCAGGCGTTTTCTACCACCTAAGTCACCTAAGACCCACCTGACATCAGGTGGCTCCTTGAACCCGGCACGCGTTCTGGGCCCTGCCGCGGTCTTCGGCTGCGGCGCGAATGTGACCTGGCTCTACGTGGGTGGCCAGTGCCTGGCGTCGATCTGCGCGATGGCGGTCTTCGGCTTGGTCTCACACTTGGGACCTTATCATCCCCGTACTTCAACCAAGACCTTTGAGCTCACGACCAATGAGGCGGGATTTGTGGCCTGGCGGGAAGAGCGTCCTTTTGGAAGAGGAGTCTTGAGGCTGAAAGGGGACGATGGTTTGGACATGTTGATGAATGCAGGTTGGTGACGGCTGGCCTTCAACCATAAATTGGAATGCCTGTGGACAGTGAATGAAACATAGGTGGGGTTGTCCTAAGTTGGCCAGTCAAAACTTCAAACGCTACTATTTTGATATTTGCCTTTTCACTCACAAACGTATGATGTCAGGCATTTGGGAAAA